GATGTTGGGCCGTGTTTTGGGAGGTATTGCCACTTCACTTCTGTTTTCAGCATTTGAATCGTGGCTTGTTGCTGAGCACTTCAAGGTGAGGAATATTCGTTTCTTTTAAAAATAAAGTTATGTGCTGTTTAATAGCAAAAAAAAAAAAAAAGTTATCTGCTGTTCATTATGAATATTTCCTCTGGATATATTGATTTAAGACATACTAGGAAGTGCCTTGTAATTTGAAGGCATTCATTGACTGACTTATAAAATATGGCGAGATTTTTCTCCGTATTTGGAAGGTCTAGATGACTGGAATTATATAATGTAATTTAAACTCCCACAGGCCATAGCCCATAGGCACAAGGGTGGCTTTGTGTCCTTTTGGACTGACATTTCAAATTGGGCTAGTCTGCACAAGCTTCTCAAGATGTCATAAATAGAACTAGCTATGAATTAAGATCTTACAAGTAACTATAAGTTTTGAAAACAGTTAGAAGTGTATATCTATAGGTTTAGTGTATGTGTATAGGTTCAGTATATCATGTAAATGTATTAATTGAGAAATTGTATTTTGTATTTAGTGGATTCATTATATAGATTAATACTTATTGAGTTCATGGTGGAGAGCTGTAACACAGTTTTTGGCATATGCTTCTTTCTCACAAAAACTATTGCACTAGTTTCTATCGAGTACTAAATGTTTTAATCTAAATCTATATTCAGTTATTAAAAGTGATTAATCAGAAGCAAGAGTGTTTGATGGCATCTGCAATTTGATATCTTTATCATGTTTATTACTTCATTTTAGGTTGTCATGTCATATCTTCAACTTTGCAATATATTGTCCTCGAGATGTTTATTTTTCTTTATTGTTCTTGCTTCTGTACTGTAGAATCTCATGTTTTTCTGAACAAACTTGTCCTTGCGAATTATGTTGATTTCAAAAGAAGCTGATATACAGGTTTTATAAATTATTATGTCTCCCTAAACAAGGTAAAAATGCATCTTCAATTATCAGCTGAGTGGCCGTGAAGTGATTCTTGATCATCAACATACATTTTTACCCTCTAAATCTGTGACAAATGGTTTTTGGAATGTTTTTTTACTTTTGTCTTGATATCCTTCTTGTTGCATTGTGTATTTATGAATCTGATTGTGTGTCTGATTTGTTTTAAACATTAATTTGTCAGAGGGGCTTTGATCAACAATGGCTTTCGTTAACATTCTCGAAGGCTATATTTCTTGGAAATGGTCTTGTTGCTATTTTGGCTGGGTTGTTTGGAAATGTCCTTGTTGATACATTGGCTCTCGGACCTGTGGCCCCCTTTGATGCTGCTTCATGTTTTCTTGCAATTGGTATGGCCATCATACTATCTACATGGACAGAAAATTATGGGGATCCTTCTGAGAGCAAGGACTTACTTACCCAATTCAGGGGTGCTGCTGTGGCCATAGCTTCTGGTATATATCTTGCCTTAGAATTTATCGTTTCATTATCTTTATACAATGGTTCAATTCTGTAAATTTACTTTGAAACTTTATATGCGAGATATTACTATTCATCAGTGTTTGCATGACAAAAATGTGAACATTTATTGTGTCCAATAGCAGTTGTTATTAAAACTACCCTAAATGGAATCAATCAAGCAAATTTGTTCATTGACTTTTCTTTTTCTGTTATGATTTATTTTATTCATCTATTTTCTTGTATTGTTGCTCATTGTGTACTTACCAAGTTCATTTATTACTGCTCTGTGTGTTTCAGATGAAAAAATAGCCTTGCTGGGTGCCATACAGTCTCTTTTTGAAGGTTCAATGTACACCTTTGTATTTCTGTGGACTCCTGCATTGAGCCCAAATGATGAAGAGATTCCACATGGTTTTATTTTTGCAACATTCATGTTAGCTTCAATGTTGGGAAGCTCACTTGCATCTAGGTTGATGGCCCGATCATCACTCCGAGTAGAGAGCTATATGCAGATTGTTTTTGCAGTTTCTTCTGCTGCTTTGATGCTTCCCATTATGACCACTGTAAGCTATTCTTCCTGGATACTCTTTTCCTCTTTCCCTTCTCCACTTTCTCCATAGTTGTGATATACGTCTCACCATTTTACTTTATTTTGTCTTGGTTATTGTGGAACAGTTCATGGTAGTTCCTTCCAAAGTGAAAGGTGGAAGCATCTCATTCTCCGGTTGCATTCAGCTTCTTGGCTTCTGTACTTTTGAGAGTTGTGTTGGCATATTCTGGCCATCCATTATGAAGATGAGATCTCAATACATTCCTGAGGAGGCCCGGAGCACTATCATGAACTTCTTCCGCATTCCTCTGAACATTTTTGTGTGTGTTGTGCTGTACAATGTATGTTTCAAATTTTACTACGAAACAAAGCTTGATCTTATCAATGTAGTATTTTTGTCATGCGTGTGTATTTACTCTCTGCAGGTTGATGCATTCCCTATAACTGTTATGTTTGGCATGTGCTCAATTTTCCTTTTGGTGGCTTGTATCTTACAAAGGCGACTGATGGTGATTGCAGATAAGCCAAGTAAGACCCGCAAGACCATGATACATTGCTTAATATGACTGATATGATAATAACCAGCCTTGATTGTGGAAATATAGACCAATAAAATGCCCTATACGAACATTATTTCGTCTTTTTATGTAACAAAAAATGTTCTTACTTGGAGCTTGGTATTTTTGTTTGAAACAGAAACAGAAGATTGGCAATTGAAGGATAGGGACACCGAATCAGAACCACTGAACATTTAACTGGCTTTAAGAGTAAGTTTTGCGGAGGTACTGAAGTTATCTGCTTCAGTCTTACGTAATGCAGTTTCTGTCTAAACTGTGTACGATGGAATTTGAGTGAAGGTAAACCTGATGCTCTCACAAAGGGAAGGGATCCAGGCAACAGGCAGAAAGGATGAGTGGAGCAATTTCTTTTTTAAGGTGTTTTTGGTATAAATATTGTAGTGCAATTAGATTTCTATTGGCTATTACTTGAGGAGAAATCTCCGTTTTGGTAGCTCTGATATTATTCTTTTGGGGGCAGTATCTAAGTTTGTCCCGTTGGGAATAGTATATATGCCATACTATTTCTTTCTTTGTCTTTTAATTTTGTAATGAAATCGCACTCCATTCAATTAATGCACTCTTTTAATCTTAGGTTATTTTCCCACAAAGATTATGGTCCATAACCTAGATACTGCCCCATGCTGGAGGTGCTTTGTTGACGTACATAAACAAAAAGATGGTTTTGTTCACTTTCAATTGATTGGATTGAAACGGGTACAATAATCTCCTTGGGGTTTCAATTACGTTTTGTCAATCAATCAGAGAGCAATATGGCTTATCCAAGATAATAGTCCTGCACAAATAATAATTAAGCAGCCATTCGTCCAAACCTCAATTTGTTTTAGAAAGGGTTGAGGGGGAGAGAAGAGAATGACCCTTCACTCTGCCTATTCATCTGCCACATAATCTCAAGATCACCCACAAATTAGCTCTATTTAGAATAGCTGTCTGTATTCCATCGATTTTAAAGTTAAAATTAGTTGATTTAATCATAAAAAAAATACTGTAGTTCAGTATAGATATTTGAAAATAACGTCAGATTTGAGTTAATCTGATATGCTTTTGTGGTTTGGATAAGATCAATTATTTTAATTTATTTAAATATTTTTAAGGGACAACCTTTGATTTTTTTATTAGAGAAAAAATAAAAAAAAAGTCTCAAACTAGTACATATGTTCTTTCAGTGACTCACAAGCAATAGTGTAGGTGCCTAAAAAATTGAAGCGGGAATAAGGAGCTAGGGTGGAAAGATACGTGTTCAAGTGGATTTACCTTTTTTTAAAAAAAATAAAATTAAAGGACAATATTGCTTAAATAAAATGTTAAATATATATAAAAATCTATTTAAAGTATTATATCTTAATTAATAATTACAAATCAAAATAATCTCAAGTTTATTTGAGGTAGAATACAAAATTAATATAAATTATAGAGATCAAACAAGCAAAAGTATTTAAAAGATAAAATTAAATTTAATTATATTTGTAGAGATTAAAAGATTGTGTCCTTTTTTCTTCTTACATGCAGTGAACTGTCAGATTGATATATAAGTTCTTTTAAAGTTTTCTAACTGTCACATACATATTCAAAAATTTGTTTAAACGTAATGAGAAAAATAATAGAATGAGCAAAATAAAGAGGATAGATAAATAGAATGTAGTCTAAATACTCGTTGATATAACGATATTTCAAATTCCATTTGAAGGAAAAGAAGCAATTCTGCCCATACTTTTTCTTTTTTAAATAAATATATTTTATAAATTATACATTAACATAAATCAAATGTATAATTAATTAATTATTATTATAAATAGTATAAAATTCTACTAATTTAAAAATAAAAAAAATTACTCCTCTTTTTTTTTTCTCTTCTAAAATTTCCTCTCAAACAGTTTCTTAGATGTGACACTAATTAAAACTTGAAAAAAAAATATGGCAACCTCAAGTACTCATTTCCTTCCTCCCCTCCCCCGATTTATATTATGAAAAGTCAAGTTAATAACTTAATGATCCAGTTACTGAGATTGGTTTTCCACACATAAAATAACAGTGATGTTATGTAAAAAAAAATGATACAAATTCATATACAAATAAAGTACCTCTATGATTTAAAGGTAAAATAAAACATTATGATAATTTTTTATTTATTTATCCAAGAATCGTGTTTTGTCTTTACTAACAAAATCACTTGTTTTGTAAACTGTTCATATTAATTTTTTTTTTGTACAATTCATACTTAAGGTATAGAAACAATTCATTGATATATAAATTCGTATCAATTATTTTTGTAACATAATATCACTGATACATTTTCAATAAACAAATATAATGCAATTGCCATCGATATTTCCTTTTGTCAATATTTCTTTTAGACAACGAAATTGAACTTGGCAATTTCATTTAGACTTTTTACTAACATGTTTAGATTCATGTTTAAATGAACATAAATTCACATTTATAGATGTTTCAATGTGTTTCTAGATACACACGTCACTCTCACTTGTTCCAAACTCGACACAAAATTTGGGAGGGGAAATGACAACACTAACATAAGGTCCACATGAAATAAATTGTCTACCCCAGTAATCTGTGCATATTTGGATGGATCATCTGATCTGATACATGGTACAATGATTTAAACAAACTTTTATAATAGGATAAACAACCACTTGTCACTTGTGTAATTTTCATCTGAAAAGACTACAACATACAAATTATTAAAAGAGCTACAAAATACATTATTTGATACAAATAAGTATACACAAAATAATGCTTAATTATGTACATATAGATAAGTTTTACAGAGAACTTCACAATTCGATTGAATTATAGACACGATCATATCACACGGCTACGTTTAGCATCCGCAGCAGCAACTTCTAAATCCCCAATGAAAAAAAGGATCTTGTCCAAAATTCCACGACATGATCTCTCTTCAGTTAGAGAAGCTTCTCCAGTGAAGTCAATTTCTGATTTTAAAGTATGGTAACTGTGGCCAGTTGCTTTTTCCTTATTTTTTCTTGAACCCAAATATCGCTGTATCTCACCTTGATGAACAAGATAGTAGTCACTGCCTTCTCTAATTATCTTCAAACCCCTATTTGTGAAAGATGGAAAAAGTAATTCTCTCTAAGGTCAGAGACCAATTATTGTTGCAACAGGCTAGATTATTTATTGTATAATGTAGAGTGTGGATTGAATTTCATACTTAAAGTGTGTTTGGGAAAAGAGCTTAATTAAGTACTTATTCAATAAGATCTTTTCACACGAGGATTTGTAACATAAATTTGACCATAAACCTTATTGGAATAAGCCGATAATGACTTATTCCAATAGGCTATAACCTAATTTGGGTAAACTTGTGAATAAGTCTTTGTAAGAGAAGAAAAATAATATAAAAAATGAATAAACCCCTTTTATAAGTTAAAAATTAATTTATACCTTTCTACTTTTTATAAGTTATTTTTAACTTATGGAAGATGTTATATTTATTTTTATATATAATTTTTCTTACAAGAACTTATCCACGAGCTCACCCAAACAAGGCCTATCTATATCAAGAAGCTTCTTGTTAAGTTAAAAACAACTTATGATCTTAGCAAAAAAAAACAAAAAAAAAAACTTATGAGAATTATAAGTTATTTCCATGAACTCTATAAACTCTTCCCAACAGGCCCTTATTTGGTAATTCCAACACATTTTTAAGACAATAATTTGCTTTATTGAATAAGAATGGTTAATGTTAGAGCTAAAGCAAGATCCAGGTAAGAACCCAACATCATTGTTGAGGTTGCAGTTATTAGCAGTCAAGTTCATGTCATCTCAAGAGGAAAAACAATGAATGGGGGTGGATTATTGGAGGAGAAAGCAAAACTTCCTCGAGCCATCATGGTTATGGCATTCAAGATGAAACATGAGCTGTGTCTATAACTAAAAGTATGTGCATGCTCTCAGACTGTCATTAGAGTAAATTAAACAACTTACACTCCAACTCGATCACAACGATCTTGCACCTCGTATACATCTTTCCATGATTTTGAACCAATAGGAGCATAAAAAGCAGCATGATCTCCTCCCCATCTCTCCTTAAAAAGGTTAGACCATAGAGCATTGTCTGAGGCAATGAGCTTCCACTTCCTACATACTGTACAACAAATTGGCTTATCAAAATAAGGTAATACAATTCTGGAGCTAGAAAGACTTTAGGATTAAAACTTGTCAACATTATACTGTTTTTGGGGTGTTATTCATCTGCTATTAACACTCTCAGTTGCCAACTACCAAATCTATGGTTCCAACTCATGCTTATACTTGTGCTTAATATTATGCCTAACATTCAAAGGCAGACACAAGAGAAACTGACACTTGGGAAAAGTCCAAAACCCCATGCAGTTAAATGGCAGTAAGGTACAACGTAAAATAATGAGATTAATGTAACCTTTCTGATTTAAAATGATCAACCATTTGCAGATATTTTTCTGAAAGATGATACATGATTGTAAATGAAACCACATGAACCAAATAGGAAAATATTGTGCAACTTGCATCTCAGCCTAAAGATTTCAACTTGGAACAGTGGAACTTTTAGGTAGCTATTTATTTAGTCTTTTTTTATGGAAAGTAACAACCTTAAGAAGCTTCAAACATTACCATCAACTAATAAAAAATTTTATTTTCTAGAAATATACACTTCTTAAATTGTATCACTCCAACATGTTTTTCTTGTGGACCTAATCTAAATTTGTAATTTGATTCAATTGTATCCGTAGAAGAAGCGGCACACATCAAATGTCTGATGAAACTTTAAAATTGATTTTGATCTGTGTTATTCTCTGATCAAAGCATCAAATTTCAAGTTTAATTAAAAAAAAAACAGAAAATACCAATCAACATCATGTAGCAAAATTTAGCCAAGCTTCAGAAGTTAATGAGATTTTTTTTTTTTTTTTGTCATGTTTCTTGAAAAGCATGGTGATAGCTAGAATATGACAGAAGGAACAGAGCACTGTATATGATTGTTGCAAACTTGGTTGATAAGAGAATAGTGATTGGAATCTGTACAAGATAACTAGGGTAGGATTACTTGATACATATTGAGCAATATGTGACAAAGGTTGCAGTTTATTATATATTTCTTCCCAAAAGACGGAAACTATATAACAACCAGATCTTAATCCTGTTTTCGACTCCATTTGATCAATAGCTAATTTCGGTCTCAGAAGACAGAACATGAAATTTCAATTAGACATCCACGCTATTCACTGTATTGCCTTCCACCAATCTGTTTCTGATTTAAAAATGCATAAATTTAAGCATTAAATAAATGAAAGGCAGAGACAGTAACTATTAACATAAGAATGAACCACACAAATCAACAGAATTTAGAGGAACATCTCATGACCACTTTCAATTGCCATCTATATGGAGGAGCCAATTCAGACAGATAGAAAACAGAATAGATAATCCAAGCCGATATAAATAATTGAATCGAATTCAAAAAACCCAATTCGGATCTAATATCAATATTTCAACCGATAGAACATGCAACCACTTCCAAATTTAGAAAATGTTAATTGGATTGAAAAAAAAATGATATTTTTCAAACAACAATTTGATAATGAAGAGGGCATCATCGACCTTGTTGAGCAACAGCAAGATGCTGGTAGTCCAAGAAACCGAAAATCTTCGTACAGATTTCCAAAGGCAACGCCTCCATTTTGAGGATTTCACGATCTTAACTAGAACAATTCGTGTGCAACAACAAGAGTGACAGGTTTCGTTTCCACTTTTCACTTTCACCCAAGAGAGAAAAAGGTTATACTTTCGTCGTTCTCCCGCAGATTCTGTCCTACGATAGATATTAATAGTATACGGTACTGTTTCTAACGCTATCTTTTAGTTGAAACTTCTAGTAAAAGAAGCAACAACCGCTACATAATATTACGGTTTTAGTTAAGTTGAGATTAAGTAATTAACATAATAAAAATTTATTATAAAAATTATTTTGTTATATATTTATCATAATAAAATAGTAATAACAAATTGTTAATTTTAGATGTTTAATTTCAGTTATAAAAGTTGAACTTAATAAAATTATTAATATTATATATTCGCGCGTAAGTATATGTTAGTGTTGGGTATTTGCTCTATTTATCATCATCAGCTTGGGAGATCACATCCCATGAGTTTTAAAGATTTTACGGTAAGTAAATAAAAACTCATTTTTTTGTGCATAGCATAAAAGAAAACTCACTTAGTACAATAACCTAAGTGTTGTTATTTTATTATCATTATTACTATTATTATTATTATTACTACTACTACTTTTTATAAAAAATATTTTTGTTTTGTTTACTTAAAGAAAATTAAAAGTAAAATCTAGATTAGTCTATGTGACGATAAGCATTGAAAAAATTAATCTCTAAAATTTTAAAATAAATTTATTAATTTTCAATTTTATTATACATTAATTGTTATTAATAAATAACATTTGAAATATTAAAACGACGTCATCTTACGCAATCTCAAACTAATTTAAATAATTTTAATTTTTTGTACTATCCAATGTTTCCAACTACCTCAGTGACTAAACTTGTCATTATAAACATTGGCTACTCGTTATCGTTACCTTTTTCTTTCCTCCCTCCACTCCCATCTCTAAACTTGCCACGGTAACATTTCTCATTATCATTACCTTTTCTTCCTCCCTTCACTGTTTTCTTTGTAGTTATCCATAACTGCATTTTTCCATAACCCTTGTTTATGGCGACAATATCCTGGGCTCCTACATTCTATTACTGAAGGGCAAACACTAGTTCCCTCAAACTTGAATCCTTTTTTTCCCTCGTATGCACTTTGATTAATTTGATACTAATTCCTCCATCCTCATAATTTAAGTGCAACTCCACTAGCTTGTAAAATTCAATATTGTGATAACTAGCTTTTGTTAACAACTTTTTTGTAGCTTCCTAAATTAATATCAAGAATAAAAGGAGGTAAAGTCAATTAAATTTTCGCCTGTTCTTCGTTGAGTAGACAATGATACAAGTCCCAACGCCAGCTTGGAAGACATTTAGTTATGAACCAAAGCAACTGCCAACAAAAACGGGACTGAATTATATAGTCAAATAATACACATTCACATATATGAAAGGAAATTTGAATCTCTTGTTGGCGTTTCTTTTGACCAAACAATTCATCTCTATCTGAATGAAAATCTATATGTAAATAGTAATATCAACAAAAACCACCCTTGCATCCTAATTGATACAAATGCTACCCTAAAACTAACAATATGCTGAAATGGATAAAAAGGGGTAGCAGGGATAATCAATTTAAAACGATTAACAATTAACACTAGCAGAAAGCAACGGCAATACGGATTGAATCAAATTGCTCAGACTGCCTCTCAACCTGCTAACAGTATTCTTCAATGTTCTACATGTTTTCTCAACAGGGAACTCGTTGACCTGTAGCAGGGGTAGCTGCATTTCCAGATACCTACTAAGACTGGCCCCAGCAATGTTAATGAGATTTAGTGATTCATTAGTGTGCATAAATTTTGTGACAAGAAATCCAGCCAAAACATGTTGATCAGCCTTCACAAGTTCCGATATGAAATTAGGGAAAAGGATCCTTCTGAAAAGAAGCAACTGATCATGATCTTCACTATTGTTAATTCCTCTACCAGATACCAGAGCTTGTTGGCATTGATTGGATAAGTTTCCAACCAGGTAGCAGATATAAGAGAAAGTAGTACCACAGGTAGAGTCGGAGGTGATAGAAGTGAGAATCCCAGAAGATAAAATGAGAATTAATAACTCATAGTCCTTGCTCCTTGTTTGAGGGATGCCTTGTCTTGTGCTATCCTCAACTGCAACCAGGCACTGCAACTGTAATGTTTTGAAAGGCAGCAACAGTGTCAGCTTCAAAGCCAGAAAGCAATCAATGCCAAGTGCTATCTGGGTTAAGCGGCTAGCATCATCTTCATCAAGCAACATACCATTAGGTTTAAATGATGATTGATCAATCAGTCTTAGCACATCAGTAAACCTCGCTACCGTTATTAGTTTTCTAAAAATCTCCGCCCAACACAGATGTAAAGGGTGAACAAAAACAGAGTCTGCAGTCTTCTCTTTCTCAGGATTGTCTACTTCCTCAAGACTTTCCCATCCCTCATCCCAAGCATCATTATTCCAGTCATTTGCTCCATCAGATGCTTCAGCAGTGGTTTCTCCATCTTTACCTGCAGTGAAAAGTCCATCCCACTCTTCCAAAATAGCTAGCAGAGCATCAAAGTGGAGATCATCACTAGCTTCTCCACACAATCTCAAAAAGCAAGTCACAGCTGTGTCCGCATTCAATAGGTCATCAGGGGTAATTTCTATGCTAGGAGAGATTAATGCCACAAGCTGAGAAGATTTAAGAGCAATCAAAGTATTTGTAAACCTACTAGAAGAGTCTTTGCAATGTGGTGACTGCTTGTCAACATCAGTCTCACTATTTCTACTTGCATAAAGCAATTCATTCCATTCTTCCCATGGTTGAACATTGGCCAGTATTTCTGCAGAGAAACCCTTAATATTTTTACCTGAGATAAATTGCATAAGCTCTAGCACAAAAACTCGGATGGAACTGGGCAGCTGTAAATTATCAGAGAACTGGACCATTCTTTCCCAAACTACATGTCTAACACATTGCATAACTTTTAAATCACCTTCTAGCTTGCTTAAAGATGATAATATATGATACAGGTTCAGGCTCTCATGGGATCTATTGACCAATTCATGCAAAACAGCTTCCAAAATATCTAAATAGAAATGAGGAAGATCTTGCGAGCATGTACCACAACCAGAATCCGAACCAGTTTCAGATGACCCAACAGAAAAAACCTCTGCCACCGCACCAAACCCACAACCAGAAAAAATCATAGCTTTGCAGAAATTATAAATTTCTATAGAAGAATCGCCACTTAAGCCACAATTGACATAGCCATATATGCTTCCCCAGCCCTGACTAGGGGAGATGATATCCTCCATCACCAATTTCATAAAAACCTTCAGACAACTCATTAAGAATTGTGGATTGAAGCTCACAGTTTCCCCTGAATTTTCCTCCAATGCAATTTCCGTCATATCATCTGTCACTCTCATCCAAAAGTTCAGAAGAACAATAAGGCATTCTTGCCATGTTGAATTGTCAGGTAGGAGTCCATATGAGCTGTAGAGTGGTATGATTACAGTGAAGTAATGCTTCATGATCCCCAAAGCATCAGAATGGCTCAGAAGTCTGATATACAGTTGGCACAAATCATAGCTCTGTTCAAGCTTAGCTATAAAGCCTTGAAGGCATTCAGGAGTTCTAATACTAGAATCAGTTGTAACTTCAGACTCCAAAACTCTAAGCAAATTCAGGATGTAATACTTGTAGACATCCTGCCATGACATGAAACCCTCAGGCAATGCATCCCCATATATATTGACAAGAGCCTGTACCATTTTTGACAAAGCTGACAAGTTACTTTTCTCAATACATGCATAAACTTCGTCACTAAAGCACTCAAAGTTCAAACCATGTAACCCAGCAATATTTTTGAAGTTCAGGTTATTGATAAAGGATACATTTTTGCATTCTTGCTCAATGACCTTGTAATAATGAGCTAACCTTAGATTGGCATTTACATGACCAGCCTGTACTATTATTGGTGATAAATCTTTGGTATTTTCCAGTTGCAAGTAGCACTCTGATAACAGGCCATACAAATAAGCAAGGCGAAGTTTGTTGCACCCATCAATTGCAGGATATACAATTGTTGAGATGGTTTCAATGGTTTTGGCACTATTACCAATTATTTCTCCTTTATAAACTGCAACTTCAGCTGTAATGTCATCATTGGACCAGACATCAGAAACAAGGACAGCACTTAGGTAACGCAATAGCACCTGCACAAACAAAGTAATGAGATCTCATCAATGGATTCTGGTGCATTTAGTTCTAAAAACTAATTGACCTAAAGGCTAAAGCAGTTAAAGATGGTCTGAAAACAATTTTTATAATTCAACACTCCATGTGAGAGTTCATTGAGCATGAAAAATGAGCAAAAATACAAGTTTATAACTACTATATACTGAAAATTGATTGTACTTGATACTGAAAATTTACAGATACTAGTGTGGCCAATAATATAACTTTTACAACATTGTCAACGAGCCAAGAAACAAAAAGACAAATAGTTTCAGGGCAAGCAATACATTTTCATTCAAGGTTTAAATCATACCTCTGTACAGTTTAAGTCATAAGTGTCAGCCAATTTTAAAATATCCTTCAAAATTTGCTTTTTTTCAAACTTTACTGACTCAATGAGAGAGACAATGACATTCTCAATATAGATGGAGTCCCCTGACAAAAAGCGTTCTGTTTCAACCCCGGGAATTATTTTTTCTAGTGCCCTAGAATGCTCAGTGAGCCGCTTTTGCTCTTCTAACTTCAGTTTCCACTCTCTCCAAAATGAGGACTGTACCTTGCCAAGTTTATCTATATCATCTGAAAAAAAAAAATGCCTTAGTTACGAATGTCAAATAAGAAATAAATGAAGTATACAAGCATGACCAAAAACCATTATTTTCAAATGAAAACATGATAAAGAAAGGGGAAAAAAATGCAATCTAAGCATTAACCACTAAATAAATATACAATGAAAAAAGGCAACTACCAGAACTGGGTGATGCATGCTTTTCCTTAAATCTCCTCTTCAATAGCTCCTTCCGCTGAGCAGGGTCAGTCCCTATTCCAGAGTTGTGTAGTAAGCTGTATGCCATCCCAACACTCATGATGCTACAAATTTCTTGGTAATCTTTTCTTATTTTGAGCTGTTCTTCAATAATTTCTACCCCATTAAAGGCATCCACAAGATTCAGAAGATAGGAGCACCCCATTATATCTTCCTCTTCAGTGACTGGTGGTTCCATCATTGATTTTGCTATAGAGGCAATCAAATTGTCTCTTGGGGCAAATCCATTTCTAGCCAACCAGGACAAAATGGTAACCACAGCCTGTGTTCTGATATTTAGATACAGCTTTCCAGTACCAAAATTCTTATGATATCCTTTCTTACTTAATTCAAGCAACCAAGGGAGCTGTAAAGCTGCAAAAGACAGAACTTTCCCATTTTCAGTCAAGCTTGATGCCCAATCTGTTCGATCTCCAATAGCCAAGGTTTTTGCAACAATGGCAAGAATGTCTCTAGTTTTCTCGAGATGAACATCCTGATTGTCAGCACTATTACCATCAAACTCTTGAAAGCAACCATTTCTATCTAGTATATTTTGAAAATTTTGTTTTGGAAGTGAGTTTCCAGATGAGCCTTGCACTGATAATTTTGAAGGAGTTGTCCCTGTTGACATCATCAATGTTTCACACTGGCCTTGCATATCTAGATCTTTCCATGCATGGAGAAGCTCACTAATAGATTCCTCATCACAGTGGCTTAAAGCAAACCCTAATAGCTGCTTTCGAGAGTCCACATCCATATTTTTAAGGGCAGGACCTCTTGCAATAGCAGCACATAAATCCCATATGTAACCATGTCCTTTTCTGGCCAAACCAAGACAAAGATCAAAGGCCAATTGTAAATCACCAGAAACTGCAGCTTCTCTAGCAATAGCTTCCTCAACAGCTGATATTTCATCAGCAGACTTCAAGCCAAGAAGTTTGGCAACCTCAATAAGTTTATCAACTTGAAAATATGCTTCAGATTGATTTGTGATTGCCATTTTTACAATTTCCATAGGATCTTTTATTTGCCTGAACTGCATGGGCAGAATATTCAATCCAAGGTTTGGAAGTTCAACAGTAAGTGCATCAATAATATCTGCCTCTGCCTTCACATTTCCACTACTTGGATATAGATTGAGACATTCTCTAGCCTTCCAGATCTGGAGAAAATTGCAGCAACATAATTAATTAATCAATTCATGTAGTTAAGGTTAGGTTAGCATAATACAAAGGTGCTTAAAAGGCTATCCAGAACACCAATATAATCCAAAAATGGCCTTTTGAGTTGATTTAGATGGCAGTTGAGTTAAAAAGAGCATAATATTATGTGGAACTCAGTATGGTTTCAGTCACTATTTTAAAGTAGGAAAAAACTGTCAAATCTAAAAAAAAAAAAAAAAGGAAAATGTTGCACAATAGTTCTTACAGCTGAATTCATGTGCGTTAATATGATGAAGGATGCTTTGTCATCAGGAAGGGTAACAAAGATTTCAAATATTAGATGTTACATTTAATAAGTTGTTACAGGCAATCTTACTTCAGAACAGGAAAGACTTGAAGCTGAAAAAAAGTACTCCCTAGCTGCTTGAATGACAAGATTTTCAGCCTTCTCTGATGCCAAAGCAACTGAACTTGTACCCTTCAAGTAGTTTCGTGCAAGAGAAAACTTCCCAGCTTTAAGCAGTCCTCTGCAAAATTCAGTCAAAATATACTCTGGGTCCAGAAAAGGAAATGCCTTTTCCCTCAAGTACTGCATATCACGCCACATGCTGGCCCATTCACTATCTGATTGGCTAGGTTGACGGCGAATAAATTTAGAAAGAATAAGGCGAATAATCTGTTTTATGCCCTTTTCACCTGGTTGAGCTGCTAGGAAAAAGTTTAACGGCTTTGGGACCTGCATAGATCCATAAAAAGAACAACCTAGCTAAAAAACATGAATTGTTGTAGAACTAGAATCATATTGCCACCCAAAACTGTAGGGGAAAATGCTAAACGAAAATTATACAACTCAAACTATCATGACATACACATTGAAGTACAATTAATTTGATTTCACCATATAATCAATTAACTTATGTCTTGTTTGTATTGGATTCTTCTGACTGTAAACTGAAGAAAAAACAGAGCCCTTTGAAATGCCACTTAGGGGTATATACAAACAGGCCAATAGAGATCACCTTCATGAATAACAAAAGGCATACAAGTTTGATTGCTCATATAAGACACACTACCAACCTGGTAAAATGCCAAAAGCCTCCCTGCTTCAATATGACCTTCAGCAATTCTAAGTCTTCTCTCAAGATTCTCAACTTGAATTGCACCATCTGTTCAATAATACATATTTTAATGTGCTCATAAATAGCTTGGTACTAAATGTGACTGAACTAACCATATCCATAACAATTTGCTCAACAATGCATGCAGACACACATAGTTCTGCAGCATGTGTCATTGGTAAGATTTGGGATTCAAATTATATTTCACACCCCAGCTCAACAACACAAACATATGTCAATCAAATAAACAACTTAAGGACAGAAAACAATATTAAATAGCAGGATTGCACGCAGAAATTTTATCCACACTGAATGACCCAAACAAGAGAAGCAATTTTCAACACCAGATTCAGTACTCTCTGGTGAAGGAAAGCAACTAGGCTAGGAACACTGCATAATATGTGTTCTAGGATCTAAGACAAGGAAGTAGACACTGATTTGTAACACAAACAACAGCAGCTTTTGCTTATTAGGCGAAATCGGTTATATGGATCACATGACATCAATGAATTTGATCAAAAATCAAACTTTGAAATATATTGTTCATCATAAAATTTCTTTTAATATTTTTTTCTGAAGTTTTTTAGCCTCCCTTTATCCTTTTTCACAAGGTTAAAAAATCATGCAATTCACTTTCCTCATTAGAGCTTCCAATGGCTTCCTTTGTATATGTCTAAACTACCTTAACTAATTTTTCATATTCTCCTTGGATAAGTATCACTCTAATATCATTCCTTGTATTCCGAATTTATTCTTAACAAAATGTTGACTTTTGACAAAAAAAAGAGAGAAAAGTATCACTCCAATATCTCCTCATACACAATCATTCCTTTTTGGTGTGATCATACATTCATTTTAACATTCTTATTTTTACTACTCTTTTTGTGTTGTTATTTTTTAAGTTTAACATTCACTATCATAGAAGTTAACTAATCATATAGTAATTCAATAAAACCTTTTGTTTAGTGGGTATTTTGTAATTATAAATAACTTTTGATAACTTTCTCTATGTTAATCACCTAACTTGCATTCTATATGTAATATCTTCATTAATATTCTCAACATTTTGTAAAATTGACCTCAAATACTTAAATTTAAAAACTTATAATATGACATCATTTTCAACTTGTATCCCCAAATCATTTTCATCTTGTTTTTTGCTCACTAATTTGCAAAACGTGGGGCCAAAAATACACATGATGGTGAAATTTTCAAAAGCATGGAGGAAGGTTATCTTGGAAAGCTGTAGAGTCAATAGAAAATGTTTGGGTTATTTTTCTTTTACTATTAGTAATCCATGTGCCTGTGATAAATAGGTGGTGAGGATTTCAAAAACTGAGAAGAAAGTTAGGCATGGAAAACTAGATTCATTAGAAGACATTTTATTTTTTTTTTATTTTAACATTTAGGAATTTGATGTAATAGGGTAGATGAGACAGGAAATCCTACATTACGATTCTTTAAAAAATTAAAAAAATAAAGGGGTAGGAGAGAGGTTTTAAAGATTCCAAATTCAAAGCAAAATAAAACTCCATATTCAAATGATCTATGGATCGAATCACAGTTGTTAATTAATTGAAATACTCCAAACATATCTTAATACAATATTCCCATCCAGTTATACCTGTTGTACAGCAAATGGCTAGGGAAAAATGTATCCACTGATTCACATGTATCTGTTGACATTTCTGTATAATATTCTATGCATTGAAAAAAAATCCAGGGTAGAAGAACCAAGCATAAGCTTGGGAGACCCCCCCAAGGAAAAAGGCTGTTATTCCTGAAATTCCTCTATGATTATGAATAATAATTTGTTAAAAAGGTGATGATGCCCTCGTAAATGTTTTTGCCCTTTTCCTTTCAACTATGTTAGTGAAACACAGAGAAATGTTGACAAGGTATAAAGTAAACCACCCACCAATAAATTATTAAAATTACATCTCATTGTCATTAAGGAATTAGAATTGACATGAAAGCCAAACTCACCATGTAGTTGAGGAAGTTTAGACAGTATGGCTGTCATGATACTCCACCTATCTGTAACTGTGGACAAATATATGCATTGCAAAGCACAATTAACAGCTTCAACCTCAGTTTTGAAATAGTCATTACTGTGGAAGTTTCTGCACCCTTCTTCAATTACCACCAAGCATATGTCTAATTTATTCTCCAAAGCAGTTTCCTTCAACCATCTGACAAGAAATGATTCTTCTGTATTTTGATATGTAGGATCAGAAAGAGTGACATCTCTAATTAAGGATACCCAGTGAAACTTTTCACGCATAAATGGAATGGCTCTGTTATGTAATCTTTCATTTACATTTTCTTCTTTGACTCCCTTAAGCATGAATTTAAATTTATCATAGTCTGACAATTCTCCCCACGCGTCAAGACTCATATTGAAGCTCATTCCACTATCATTGTCATCAGAATAAATAATTTGATGTAAGTATAAGACATCCTGATGGAACTGCTGCAACTCAGATATGCCTTTGCGAAGAGCAAACTCAAGTAGGCTGAGGCAATTATCCAGCTGCCCACTAAAATTATCCATAGCTTTTGCTCTATTTGTATACCAATTTGAGAGCTCATCAATTGATGGCCAATGAAATCCAAGAAAATGCTTAACAAGAGGTTCAGTTTTGACTTGGATTTGAATCTCATGGTTTGTAACTGATGTATTGATGAAGTGAACCATCTTCTCACATTCAACCCAATCATCCTGCCTCACAGCAACACCAGATGGAGACCTCCCAGGAAGAAGTTGTCCATACATTTGTACAGGAACTGTTTCTGGGATGGTAGCTAAAATTTCCAGCATAAAGGGAGACAAAGAATATGGATGACGCTTGAAGAGCAAGTTCAACGCACCAATTTTTCCACTTTCTGCCAGTGCTACAGCAGCTTCATTAATAGGCATAATGCGAAATTTGCCATATTCCTGCATAGAAAACCTGCAGAAAACTGTGTCAATGAATTTCGTGTCAGTGGAAAAGAATTATTGAAGAATCACAAATGATAAAAATCCTATCATTTTAAACCATTACCATGATCATATATTGGAATGTGACTATATTTATGCATGTAAGTTTGTTAGTGATCTATGGTGAGATGGGTATTTGCAATGTTGCCAACAAAAGAAAATAAGTAGACAAAGTCCAGTTAAAATTTTAAATCTTACAATTGAAGAACTCATCATTATGAGCTAAGATTTAAGAATACATAAGGATATGCCAATATTTCAATTTAAAGACTTCTTTTGTGTGCACGCACGCATACATGTATAACAACAACCAAGCCTTATCTCATTGGATGAGGTCAACTACATCGATCATTAGACGCCATTGAGTTCGGTCAAAAATCCAATTTTAAAAAATCTGGTTAATAAAAAAGTCTCTTTTAATAAAAGAAACTGAGAAAATAGATGGTGGAGAAACCTAATTAACCATTTGTTCAATAATCCTCCCCCCTTAAATTTGCAAATTATGGAAAGATAACTTTGGGAATCCAAAACTTATCATATAAATGCTACTTTTCTCGCCGATGATGATATGGGCCAACTAGAAAAAATATAAAGTGCATATTACAATGAAAAAATCATCACTAGAGTGCTACATGGGAATACAAAGGCTTAGAAAAGTTATGGTGAAGATAAAACCAAGATTGATACAAAACCAATTTTAAGTGTCATATTTATTTTGCCTGATCCAAGTTGTGTGTGGAAAATGTAGTTCTCAGTTTAAATTGGTTCTCATCTCTTCTTACATGGTTCTGCTTTTGTTTTACATTGGAACTTTGGAACTTTTGGCCTTTGCTCAGAGCTAGGTTGGTTTTAGGTCCTTGGAAGATGTTGTATTATCAATCATCTTTAATGATTTTGGTAGAAGAGGCTAAAGTCTAGCAGCCATATGCAACCCATGCTACAATTCAGTGCATATGATTGGATCATAGCTCTTGGCTTCCATTTGGTGTAAATTACACAGATTTTTATTTAGAAAAGGTTTCCCCAACAGATGTGCTTAGGTATTGAGTAACTTTGCTTGATTGATATTCTTTTTTCCTTGTGTTTTGCTCTTTTTTATAGAGTTTCCCTGTCCTCCAACTCATTTAATTCCTTCTTAGTCTTAATGATATTTCTATTTCAATAAAATAAATTGAAAAAGAAATATATATTAAAAAACTTGTAAAATATTTAAGCAAAGCATTGAAAACATACAGGTTATTTTTGTCAAAATTGATGTCTATAACTTTCAAAATACCTGCCCATGTTTATTCCAAGATATGTTTCCAGCCTGTCTCTAAATTGCAAAATTTGAAGTCTGGCCAAACGAATATCCCATACTTGACTAGAATTATCATCATCAACTTCTGAGAATCTATGATGGTCAGTAATGCGTAGGCCATAAGCCAGTAAAGCCTTAACAGCATCTTCAGTCGGTCCAATCCTATCAACACATTCAGAAAGTACAAAATCTCTATCCTTAATATTTGACAAAAACATATTTATTTCATTTACTCCTTGGCTAGAATTCAACCACTGTGACTTCAGAACTTCGTCTTTATCTAATCCATGACTATCAGCAAAATCCAGAGCATCCTCATATCTTTTCTTGCTAATCAATATACCATACATTTCAGGGACAGATTTTTCAGCAAATGAAACAAGGTGCCAGAGCAACCTAGAAAGGTGAAATTGATTAAGCCTATCTTCAATTATCCACTCTGTCTGATGCAACTCTTCCATTGATCCAAAATCAGAAGGATTATATCTTTCTTTGGATGATAGACTCACCAAAAGGAAAACACGGCCCTTATATCTTTGTGCTCTTTCAAGCACAGGTAAAAAATATGCAGGATCCTCTTCTGGAACTTTAGAACCAGTAAGGATGTCAACGAACATAACCACACCATTCCTATCTATAATGGCAAGGATATGATCACACCACCAAGTAAAATCCAAAAAAGCTTTGCTTCCTCCATTTGATAAATTATCAAATGTTTGTGAATCATCTCTCTCACCCAGGGCAATCTGGGAGAGTGTAAAGCCTTCTATGTCCAGCTTAAAAATATGCAAGCTCCCTGTCAAATCCAGAGTAGCAATGAATGTAGCTTGTGGTGAGATTAGCACCTTTGGAAATGTCAGTTGACCTCTGTAGCCTTTTGGCTTTATATATAATCCCTCAAATTGCAAAGAGAACAACTGCTCCAGTTCTGTACTTGAATTTCTGTGCAAAAGAGAAATATGGAAAGATCCTAAAATGGATATATGTGAGACTAGTTAGAGAAGAACTTGGTCCAATAATAATTTATTTGATAAAAGAAGAAATATTGTTAAGAGAATACAGTGGAAGAAGTACAAAAGCAAAGGATAATAAAACATTGTTCTGAAATTTGAATTAAGAACACATAATACAAGTTCAGTAATGAATTACTCCATGTCCATGATCCAAATAAAAAAATGGATTTCCATGTTTATTCTACGACATGAAATCAGTAAATATAACCAATAAAAAAATATCATGGCTTGAATTGATGCCCAAACAAAATTCTCTTATCAAAATAAAACAACCACCACACCTTTGACCTCTAAATCCTTAATTGTTTTGCCTATAGTTTTTTTCAGTCTCCCACTACCTCCATACGATCTACTCTCTTTATTAAGGCTTCCACAGGTCTTCTCCACACATTCCTAAACCAATTAGGGCAAGATTCTACCATTTTTTTCCTACAAGTTCCTATCCCAACTTTCTCTTTGATATAATCATTTTTAATCATATCTTATTTAGTATGTCTACTCTTCAAATGCAACATCTTCATCTCTACTGCATTGAGGAGAAAACAGAATACATACACATAATAGAAGATACACGTTGCATTTTAGACCCTTAATTAGTTACTTTTAATAGAACTTCAAACATTTAAAAAATTCAAAACATGTTATGGTTCAAACTTTCTTGTAGAGTTGTAGCTTAAACCCACCTGTATTTGTTATGAAGTAATTATAATTATTTAAACAGCCAACTTCTGAAATTATGAAAAAAAAAAAGAGAAACTTTTTATACAGAAGAAAGATAAAAATAAGAACTATATCCTTCTAAAAATTTAAAACAGAGGACATCAGACATTATAATTATACAGAGAAGACAGGCACAGTACATAGTTCAATCATAAAAAAGTTCTTACGACTACAAGCAGAGCATGGAGGTAAGCGTGAAGCAGATTGCACAATTCAGCTGTGAATTTTACCCATCGAGGTAAAGGTTTCTAATCACGTATGAACTTTATTTTGATTTTGCAAATATTTATTAAGATGTTATCTTTGTTGTTTTGTTTCTTTTTATGTCTTTCCCTTGTTAAATTTGACTGACATGAATCAGATGAAAGGTTAAAGCTAGTAGTCAGAAGCAAGTGAAGCAATAGCATAAAGTCATCATTTGTCTAACACACAATCCACTGCTTTAATTCCTAACCAACACTTATAACGTAGAAAAAATAATTGAGAAAAACCAAAAAATAAAATAAAATAAAAATAAAATACCAGAGTTCTTGTGAACAGCCACAAAAAGGTTAAGTTCAATATGGCGGTCAAAGCAGAAAATAGTGTCGCAAATCTGACTCCTGTGATTAGAAATGTACTTGGGAAAGGTAGAGCCACTTTGTCCATGACTGATCTCGATTTGTTGAAGTGAACCATCCGATGTAACAACAGAGAACCTACACCTCAAACAATACCAACATTTCAGACTGACATGCCATCTCTCTTTAACAAATGCTTCCCAACATTGCTTTAATTCAGTGTGGAAGTTTTCCAAACAAAGACAGCATGACCATATTTTTCAAATCAGCAACAAACTACTCACGTTTTTGGGCTGTGTACAGTATATCACAAGCAAGGGATGTAGAGAAAGGAAAGAAACTTACAAGTAAGACTCGTGTGCGCCAAAATCGTCATCCGAAAATAGACCAACGACTGGTGAAGACAGTTTCAAATGCTTCTTCGTAATTTCTGCCACTACTTCGCCACTGAATTTGATAAAATACAACGTATCAGAGTCATCAGCAACTCCAAGAACGTCATCATCCTCAGACCAAGCTCCTACACTAAATGTACCAAAGCTGGAATCTAACGAACCAATAGCAAATCAGAATGAAATCGCATTTTCACTTTTCAACAGAATCCAAAGAAGGCAAGATTTCAGAGAGTAACTAAATAAATCTCACTGGTGAAAACAGCGCATGGATGTCGATACTCATCCTCTTTACGCAGAATCGTTATCCGATTTCCCGCGGCAACTGCGACATGTTTGGCAGTAGGGGAAACAAACAGCGACACCAATCTTCTGAGTCTCTTTGGTTGATTATATTCAGTCCATTTCTCTTTTAGTTGGCTAACGCCTTCACACACAGTAAGATACATGAATTGGATCCAAATCCAAACGAGCATTGATAAGGATTCAGCGAAACCAGAACCGAACGTGTTCGGAAGTGAAAAAAGAAAAACGAAACTTACCTCGAGAAGAAAGCAAGGAGAGAAAGCTAGCCTTAGCGCCTCCATTTTCCTGAAATTCGAGAATGATGAAGAAAAGCGAGGGAATAAGAGTGAGAATCGGAAGAGAGAATAGAAGAGACGCTGACCTGTTGGTGTTGGTTTTGTTGTTGTTGAGGATGGTAATTGGAAGCGTGACGTCGCGTCTCGTAAAGCGGCACCTCCATATGGAACCGTTACGCTGTTTTCTTCAAAACCCCGCTCCTCAAAAACTGCACCGCATTCGAGTGCTTAGCTTAGGTACAAGAAAACCAGAGAGAGATACCTTCGGCTTCGGTTCGTTCCCATTTCTCGATGATCATGGATTCTTCTTCTTCTTCTTTATTTTTATTTTTATTTTTATTTTTTTGGTGACTTCGGAGTTGGGTCCTCACTGCGGTGGAGATCCAATGTTAAACTTCGGCACGATATTGAACAAAATGGGCTTGGTTGGGCCTTGGCAAATATATAAAACAAAACAAATATTTTTTTATTTTATTTTTAAGATCATCCTATATTAGTTGTTGAAACTTTGATTAACCTTGACCGAAAAAGAGAAACTTTGGATAACCACGTTTAGTTGGATAAATCAACCAAAGTTGCTGCTGACCTGAGCCTTGCTTTAGTCTTGGTTCTTTTTTTGCTTGTAATCTATAAATAAAAAGACGATAATAAGGTACGGTATTTTTATAAGAATACATTTTATATTCTCTCAGGTAAAATAATTATTATCATTAATTTTAAATTAATAAATAATGAAATTAATAATTTATTTAAAAAAATATAAATACTCTTTAATTTTATAAAATATTAAAAAAATTATAACCATTAATTTTTAAAAAGTATATAATATCTTTTCAAGTTACGAGTATCATAATAAATATTATATTATCAATGTTGTAAAATTATGATTAATTGTTGACTTTCTTAATGCTGAATTATTGATTAAACTAGTAAGTCATTAGTCAAACTAAATGTGTGTACGATAAAAAATAGTATTCATTATTTTTTTTTTTATAATTGTTAGAAATGCTTTATTTATTGGCATCTGCCTTTGCTGTGTTTTTATGAGATTTGATACGAGGGTGTTTTTTCTTTTTTTATTTTTATTTTGATCAAACATGATACGTGGACATAGTGAGAAGCTTGCGAGACGTGTCTCAAAATAAAAAATTTGTAATATAGCTTAAGGTTGAGCTAAAGATTATTATCACTCTAAACCCTAAATATCCAATTACTATCACTCTACAAGCTAAACTAGGGTAGGATTGGAGTTTTTTTGCCATATTATGGTAATTAAAAAAAATTATCGAAATAGAATTTCAACGTAACAAATTTTCAGTCTGGGATAGAGAATGTCAAGTGGCATCAAAATCGTCCAAAAGCAGGACAACACTAAAAACAAAAAAAACAAAAAAGTGAAAAATCTTATCAACGACTAGAAATAAACATTACACATGATTAACTCTTAAAGGAGTTAGCTAGATCTGTGCCAACTTTGGTGTCAGCTACATCAGGGACGATAGTAAGGTGATTGGTCTACGTGGCTTATACATTTGACCATTTAGAGGCGCGAGTTCCCTTTCCTTTCTTCCTTGCTCCATTCATTTTCGCAGATTTTACCTTTTACAGATTCACTTGAAAAAAAAAACACAACATATGTTGAAATTTGTGGGCATCCAAAATCTATTTTGTGTGAGAAAATACATTATAAAAGATAAAATAATAATAATGTGAATATATTTTGTTTTTAAATATAGTATTTATTTAGATTGCATGCATGTAACTTTGAGATGGGGAGCATGTAAAGGATTTGTAGGTGAGGGGGTGAAGCACTCGTTCATTAAAAAGAGGGTCCAAATCGAGACGAAACCAAACTGCAGAGGTGCACAAATTTGCTTGTTTTTAAAAATTATATTAATTTGTGTATTTGTAAAAATTAAAATTTCAGATAAATTTTATAGCAATTATATAATATAATATATATAATTTATATATTTATAATTAGTTTGTTTAAAAATATATTAAATTAAAATTATAGTAATTAGATGATATTTATTAATTATTAAATAATTAGATGAATTATTATTGTAATAAATTGATAAATTAAGAGGAAAGAAAATTATATATAATTTTATGGTTCAGGAAAAAAAACATGGTAATGAAAAAATATATATGAAATGCAGTGAAAATAATAAATAATTAATGTAGGATAAATAATAAATTTTATATGTTGATGGTAAATTAAGATACAAATAAAATATTTGCGAAAAAAATATTAGATGCAGTAAAAATAATATTTACTTTTTGAAAAAGAGTAAATAGAATATTTTTATTAAAATTATTGTTAAAAAATAAACATATACAGTTATACTATAGAATAGATAAAATATGAAAAAAAATATAATAATGATAAATAGATTTAAAGTATTATAGTCATAAAAAAATTAATTATAAAATATAATAATTTTATCTTTAAATTTATTTAAAACATTACATATTGAAAATAAATTTTATAATTTAAGAAAAAAATTATTATTGAATATGAATAATAAAATTTAAAACATAATGAATTTATTGTTTAATATTAAGAATTGCATAAATAAATTAAGGGTAATTCCCACGTTTTATCTTAATCATCTTTTTCTCCTCTTTAAAAATTATACCCTCATTTTCTTCATATATTCTACCATTTGAATATAATATAACAACAATTTCATTTATCCTGCATTCAAAATAATTGGTCATCATAATAATTAATTTATAATATAACAAATTTATATTTAAAAATTAATTTGCAATTACACATATTTAAATAATTAATTTTTAACATTATATTTTATATTTATTATTTTCAAACATAACAAAACAAAATTATTTACAACATTAACACTTAAAATATTATCAATTTTCTAAATAAAAAATTCTTAATACTCAATGAATTCAAAATATATATACTCGTAATGCTCAAATCTAACTTGATTGAAAAATTTCTCTTCAAGCTTCATAGTTGCTTTCTCTTCCAGCTGCACGATTATTGTGTGAAATTTCTGTATTTATAGACCTCTAAATTTGGACAAAAGGATGTATCAAATTTTTATCTAGCAGTAACATAAAAATCGACCCCAATTAGATGACATTAGAGTCGTCCCTGACATGGACGGTACAAAAATCGTCGCTTACATTGACACTACAAAAATTGTCTAAATATGGACGATAATAGTTTCTGGCACGACACGTGTCAACATCTTGTTAGTATCGGCTAGTAATGGGATGACACTCTCATAACTTACCACGTCATCACCTATGTCGTCTATTTTCTAGACGACTTTGGTACCATGTAGACTACTCACCTCATTAGTGTAGGCTAGTAATGGGACGACACTCTCATAGCTTGTCATGTTATCACCTGTGTCATCCCTTTTCTAGACAACTTTGGTGCCACATAGATTATTGGACAGGAAATTTGTTTTAAAAAAAATTTATATTGATAATTTTTTTTTAAAATTACCCCAATAAGGGAAAAAAGCCATAGGATTGCTAGAATTAGAAAATAAAAGCTCTACCAACACAGTTGCAACAAAAATGAAAAATAATAAATGAAACAATGACTCTCAACTACAAAGATGACTATTGAATCACAAATACCAAAGAAAATTGAAAAAAAAACTCCTCAGCACAAAGATAAATAAACAAAAGTTAACACTCAAAAGTGCCAAAAGGAAAGGCATAAACTAAATAAAATAATGAAGAAGAAATGAAATCATATACATATGACTCCATCCAAACTAAATAAATTGTATAGATTTCAAGTTGCTCATTTCTCATTTAAATCATCGGTCTAATATTATTTTGCTTGCATAACAGTCTGAAAGTATAATCAAATTAAGTAAGAGTTAGGTTTGTGGTCAAATCAATTTGCGCGACCAATTTAATTTTTACAACACTAGGTGTAAAATAAAGTAAAAAGAAAGAATTGCATTGATTTTGTAAAATATGTAAACATTTGAATATAGTAAAATAAGTGCGAATAATGGAATCTTGAGCAAAAGATGGTGGAGTAGTAACAAAGATGCTCTAATGTTAAGTTAGTATGAATTAAGTAAAGTAACAATATATGAAATAAATTTTGTACATGCAGATGTGAGACACACCCTTTTGTACGGTGTTCAAATGCAAGTGAGTCATGGTTAAATATTAGAAAGAAAGAACAAGAAAAATAAGAAAAAAAAGTATTCATGTTTAGTTTTAGTAACCAACTTCAATTTAATCATTGATTTTTAAGGGTTGTATAAAGATTTGCATCTGTACTTCTGGATTTACTTGATTTGTATAAATGCACTGCTTGATTTGGCTTGATACATATAATCTAATATTCCACATCTTTGCTTTATCCACTTATATCTTTTGGAATTATTATTCTCTTATTAAGATTTTCTCACTATTTATTTGAGCTGCGTTTGAAATTGTATGTTTGTTAGTTGTCTGTGTTTGCTTGGGGACAAACAAACAATTAAGTGTGGAAAAGTTTGTTAAGAGTCTAGTAGTATGTAGTTTTTGGTTAATTTTAATCTTCTTTTTTTCTTCTTTTAACTTCTTATTTTTCATTTTTCTCTTAAATTTATTAGAATTCTAGTTTTTATAATTTATCTTACCTTACTACAATTTTGGGTGAAAATTGCTAAAGTTCGAATATTGATTGCAGGTTATTCAGTGCCAAGACATAGACCTGTGTGTGCTAAGGCGCCACCCAAGTGTGACAATGTGCTCTTGGGTCATCCTGTGCCAAGGCGCAAACTTATGGACGTGGACAAGAATACATATTGTGTAAGATAAAAAAGATTGGAGACAGATTGTAATAAGGGTTTTTTTTTTTGCGAGAGAGAGCAAAGGAGCAACTCTTCTAGAGCAAGAAGACCAGACCCATACTTGGGTCTTTGGAGAGAAAGATTAGAGAATATTCCCATACTCATTTACTTCTCAAGAACATGGCTAAGGGAACCTCTCCTTCTTTTCTTGTATTTTTTATTTCTGTGATGGATTGCTAAATATTTTGTAGTTAGGGTTGATGGATCCCTTTGAAATTGTGATGTAATTAGATTCTTGACTCTAGTTTAAGCTTCTTTTTATGTTAGCTTGTAAATATGTTCTTAATACTTGGTATAACTAGCTAATCATGCTTTGTTTTGATGAACCTTCTTTATATTGAAAAATGGAATGAGTAGTTGTGCTTCTCTTGATTT